CCCCCCCAATGCGTAGCCAGAACAAAAACCTTTGATCGTAATTCGGTCAAAAATTTAAGTAGAATTCAATCTTCACCCTCTTTGCACTCTGCTCTGGGACTGAACTCTTACACTTTACAGCCCCGGGATTAATAAAGTGAGCACATTATTAGTAACAGAAGGCTGTGCCACACCTGCTCCCTACCTTCTCACTGCTCACGCCGCAGGAATCTGACATGAGACATACGGACACGGTCCATTGCCTTGATGAATTATTCGTGAGCGCTGCCTTTTTTTCTTATGTCTTTCTTTTTTCCTCTTCAATTTGCAAGAAATAAACGTCTGCACATGCTTTGAGGAGGAATTAAAAAATCAGTTTTGTGTTGGAAAGGGGTATGGGCGGGGCCAGGGGCTGTGGTGGATTTTGTGTTAAAATATTTGTAAAAACTCTTTAAGATTTTAAACCAAGGAATGTACTTCTCTTAGATGCTGATTCAAGTCTAAAGGGGAAGAAGAATAAAGCTGAAAGAGTTATTTCGACCTTGTTTCCTTTCAACTTTGAGGTTAGATTGAATACTATCTTATATTTAGCTCTTTGATGATAAAGAGGCTAAACGCACTCATACGAAAAGATCAAATTACAATCTAAAGGTGTCTTGGCTTTTTACATATATAATATACATCTCTCAAGCAAAGCAATAAATGATCAAATAACGGATTTTCACCGTAAAGAGTAACATTTTGCGTTGTGTTGATTCCAATCTATCGCTGTTGAAACTGAATGGCGCTGAAATAAAGAGTGACAGAAAATAGAAATAAAAAGCAAACAAACAGAACAATGGGATACAGATCAGGGAAATTGTGGCCTTTTATCCTCGTAAATGTCTGCATTTAAATCTATATTTAGCCTTTGATACCCCTGATCTCATTGAAGAGGAGAGGTTGATTTTGTCGTAAAATAACATGGAATCTCGTCTAAAGCTAGCAGACAAACAAAGGCTTAAAAAATCTAACAGACAATTTCGACATTCTTTGCGTTTTATTATCCTCAGTACCACAATAGATAATTAGAACGGTGATGCCACATAGCTGTTCCTTTAATAGGAGAACTTAAGTTTGATTTTATGGACAGCGTGGGGCGAAAAATGTACAATCAAGCTGCATTATGGCAGGCGTTGTTTTTCGTTCCCTCTCATCCCTGCCAAATTGCTTCCGACTGGAATGTTGCGAAATCATCTGTGTACTGACAGTTCGTTTGCTTTGACTTTTCTATTGTCATTGTTTCAATTTTTTGTCCTTTCCGAAACGAACTTTTTGAAAATGATGTTGTTACACTCAAACTCTCTCTCTTTCTCTCTCTCTCTCTCTCTCTCTCTCTCTCTCTCTCTCTCTCTCTCTCTCTCTT